TTTTGTTTGATTAATTGACTTTTTAATTTAAAATGAGTATGCTCAATATTGTTTGACCTTTGAGATTATAGGGTATCTTTATAAAATGCTTTATATTCCAGTTATCAGGAAAACCCTGAAAAAGTTGTTAATGTAAGCAGGACCAATATTAGGTTTTATTGTTAGTGATACCTCTAAGTTAGCAAAAGCTGATACACAATGATGTATGATATGTTTAGTTTGTTCACTGGAATGACAGGTAGTATGGAAGGTGTCTATAAAGGTATGAATACATTTAAGCTTGTTACAAGAGAATACATGCATGTTATTTATGAGGCATAACAGGTTAGCTGTAAAACCTCTGTCATTATAACTCTGTTGAGTAACAGGCCCCAAAATAAGTTTACAGGCAAAACATTATAACAATTTGTCCAGCTTGTGTTATGGTAATGTTAATTTTTTTTTGTCTTTTTGAGACAGGGTCTCTCTATATAGTTAAGCAGTTCAGCCTGGCCTTGAGCTCACATTGTAGCCTAGGCTGGTCTCCAATTCACAACGATCTTCCTGTCTCAGCCTCCCAAGTGCTAGGATTACAGGCATGAGCCACCACACCAGGTTTAAATGTCTTTAATAAGGATTTAGAAGTATAACAAAAGATTTATGGAATTGTGTCAAATTGTTAAAAATGGAAGCCAGATTTACCAGAGCATCTGCATGACAATCACCTAATGTCAATGAATTTGAGAGATTAAAATATGTTGTAATGATGAGCAAAGAATGGAGCAATTTTAATGAATATATCCTCTAGCAGTTTTAAAATTACTTGTAATAGTGGGGGTTTGAGTTGACCACATTGCTGTTGTTTATTTAATGATTTTAATAAGATCTCTAACATTTTTGCATATGAATACCAAAGGCTTTTATCATAAATCCAACTTCAGCTTTATGCTGGTCAACTAAGGGTGCAAGTGATGTTACTATGTCTGTCTATCTATTATGGCTGACATAAAGTAGCAGCAGTGACTGAGGAGAACCTATCAAAGTTGGGGAGGCGGGTCTAAGGAAGTGAGCAAGCATCCATGATTGGTTGTTTACCATGGTGACATCAGTTCTTATATCCACCAAAAAAAGTAAGAGATTTCTCATTTTAATTTATAAGTACTTGTATGAAGTGAAATACCCTGGGAAAAATAAAGTTTATTTAAAAAAAGAAAAATAAAGTTTATTGTTTAAAGGCTCATTTTTAACAGGTTCATTTGCAGAGTCAAGGACAGCTGTGGGAATTTCAGTGGAAATCAAAAGTGAAGCTTTTACTCCCAAAGAACTATTGTAAGGAGCCCTGGGTAAATCTGAGTATTTTGAATGGTTCCATGGACCAGGGAAACAAGGGACACAGAGAGCTTGTTACTGGTCTGATTAGGACTAGAAAAAATCTTGCTTAATTGGTTTTGAATTATTAGCACATAGGCTGAGAGGTGTTCCGACCTGCGGGTAAGTCCACAGAGACCCTAGAGTGGCAGTAGGAATGAAAAGGAAACAAGAGACACAAGGAATGGAGACAAGATGAAGTCCGATCAAGTCTCGTTTATTCAAGGAATGAGTATCAAATATATAGGGTATTGGAGAGGAGGGAGTTGGGTTCTGAGACTTCAGCAGGTAACTTAGCAACAGTGGCAAGACTGAGGGTCATAGGTTAAATCAAATTTTCAAATTTCCCATGCGTGGGCTCATAAGGTGGGCTGATTAGCATAATTCCTGAATAGGCTAAGCCACACAAGCTAGGCAAGGTGCTGCTTAACTACCAAGCTTAACTCTTAAAGGGAGTTAAGGTGGTGTGGCTTGCATATGCAAGGTGGCAGCCAATTACAGGGCTTCCCACAGAGATGTGTCTTATTCTTATTGAGGTATTTTGTTTGGACATATGCTTTGCTTTTCTACAAGTGTGCCATTCTTATGAAATTTAGATTTACAATGTTTCTTCCAGTGAAATCCTTTCATAGAACATAGACATAGACTAGGTGCAGCCAGAGTAGTCGAAAGGACTGGTGCTTTTAGAGCTGATATAATGTTGACTAGTGCGTTCTCCTGTGCCACAGTTAACTCTGTGTTATGAGAACTTGAGTACTGAAACATCAATGGTAGAGCCAATATTTTGGCATGTTTGAATATAAGTGGATAGGTCTTTAGTATGAAAGACTGATGGTAAGGCTCTTTCACAGTCTTCATTAGCATTGTCATATGCTAACTGATGAAGGATAATTGTAGCGGCATCCTCTTGAGAGACCTGTCTATGTATTGCTTCCTGTAAGTCTAGCTACAAACTATATGTGAGTTTCTGTAGGGCCTCTTAAAATTTGAGTAAAGGATTTATTAGGTGTACCATCTGATAGAATTTTTCAGCACAGAAGGGAAGCATCTGATAGGATTTTGGCTTGGCTGAAAAGATAAGAAGTATGAAATAAAAGAGACCTTTATTTTGAGAATGTGGGGAGAGACCCCCTGACCTTCTCTGCGGTCTGGCATTCTCTCAGCCAGACACGTGGTATGGGGGCATACACGTAGCTTAGGTTTGGTGTGGTGCCTAGGGGCATTAGTGATGCACAGGTAGCCCATTGGTATTCATTTGGCACCACAGGTAAATTCCTAGGGGGCGGGGAAAGATGACCTCAAGATAGAGCCCCTTGGTTCCGCCTCCCAGTTTCACCAGCTACAGTGTCCCATCTGGGGCAAAAACCTTTCACCATCTTCTGGGACAGAAATCCATGCACGATGTAGTACTTCCTTACACTGCATGAAAAGAAGAGGTGAGACTCATGCTTGAACTTTTACAATAGTGTATTGTCCCACAAAACACACGATTTCTTGTGTTATGAACTGAATGTTTTCATCTTCATGGTCTTGGTTATTTTGTGCTTACTCTAAAATGAGTGTCCTTAGTTGTAACTCAAAATGTAGAAACTGTGGAGGAAAAAGGCATGTGCGAGCTAGGTGGGTCACATCACTTGGCACCATTTGAAAACCTTGAATTATATTGTCTAAAAAACTCAATGTGTAAGGAGCCTGAACCTTATTATGGAGGACACTCTGAGTACTTTGAGGAATAGGAAATTAAAATAGTGTATGTCTTACATTTTCTTGTGGGATTATCCAGATCATTTTCCTCAGTTAGTGGGAAACACATAGCCTAAGCACGGACCATATCATGGTACCTGAGTTTTTTGTGAAACCAGGTAAATGCTGTGGTGAGTCTGTCGTATGAAAAGGGGAGCAGCTGTAGGAATCACCAAAGCAGTTTCCGAGTTGGGGGTGGTGAGTGAGGCCAAGTATGTAAATACATTGGAAAGATTTTGTGTTTCTTTATGAATATCTTTGTGAATATTTTGTAACAGTGAACTCATTTGATTATCTGCATTTTAAAAATAGGCTTCATTTGTCTCCATCAACTCATTCAGAGGCACTTTACTATGGTGATCTGAATTATTTGCTATTGCTACTTCAGGGCTCTTTTCTACTTCAATTGCATTAGCCAGCAGGTTGTTTTTTGTAATGTAACTTTGATGTTGGTCTGTGTCTTTTATTAAGTTAATTAGTAAGGACCTGAGGGCCATTTTCACTAAATTAAAGGTAGTTGTAGTTTCAGGGTGGAGTTGTTTATTTTCATTTTTTGTGGCTTCTTGAAGAATTTTAACTATCTTATCCCAAATTTTCATATCAAGTGTATTGGCTTTTGGGAAGGAAGGGTAGACCACAGCTATTTTTTGGAGTAGCCTAAACATGTTTTTAGGTGGTACAGTAATGCTTGCATCTTTTAATAACTTTATAACCAATAGACTAACGTCTTTCTCTTCTGTAGATAATGAATATCTTTGGCCAATAATTACCCTTAGCAATTAGATTATAATTACTACTTGCATCTGAGCAATATAATTAGTAAAATGCTCCAGATTTTATCACACAAGGTCCAGTAGATTGTCTCCTGGATGATGGTCTGTTCTCATTCTGTAAAGGTTTTGTGGTCTGGCATGATGAGTGCCAAATAATATTGTAATCCCATATGGTAATCCAAGTATTATAATTCCTTTTCCAGTTTTATTCACAATCCAAAAAGTTATATTGGTAATCCCACTGAGACATTATTGGAATCCCAGAAAATTAATTCCAATCTACTACTTCCAGTGCAACTCATAGTGAAAGTAAAGACATGAAGACATAATGAAAGTTAAGGGCAGCCAAGGGGTTTAAATCCAATCCCCATGAGGATATGCAGACAGAGGCCCTGATCCACCCTCTGCCCCAGAATTTATTATCTTGAAAAGAAGACGAAGGAGGTGGCTAAAGTATAAGTAACAGTGAGGATGGTGGCACTATGTGAGTAACAAGCTAGCTAGCCAGGTAGTGAGAAAAACATTGCAAAATGCAGGGATAATGATATGCAGAAGGATCAATCTGCATAATTCAATTAAGGTAGCAACTAAATAGTTTTTGGTGGCTGTTTCTTAGGTTTCTGATATGTAAATTTTTGTGTCATGGGGAGTCACAGTTTCTTTACCTTGAGGCTTATACCCAGTTGACATTCCTGGAGCTGATGGCTCTAACATCTTGCTGTGCTTCTATATTTTAGAGAGAGCATTATGCAAGGAAACAGGAGACTGTCTGATGGCTTTAGAGATTACGTACCAGTAACTGAGCTAGCCTTATCTGCAATGCTTAGAGCCAAATGAAGAGAGAAAGAAATAATGTAGTCAGCTCTGTACATATCAGTATATGGAAATAAGTGTAGATATAATCCAAGTTGCAGCAATTGTAATGCATTCAAGAGAAGATACTCAAGTTGTCTACCACAATTTGCTTGTTCAGAAAGAGCAAGACAATAGAAAAGGTGGTCTGAGGGCATTGCAAGAGTCAACAGGACTTCAACTTTTGCAAACTTAAGGTTGCAAAGAAGAAAGCATTGTTTTGAGAAGAAAACTTTAAAGCACTGATACAATTGTGGGGGGTGGCTGCTGAAAAGATAAGAAGTATGAAATATAAATGACCTTTATTTTAAGAATGCAGAGAGAGACTCTGATCCCCTGGGATGCGGCATCTCCCTCCCGGGTCAGCGATCTCTCCATGGAACAAGTGGAATGGAGGCATACATGTAGCTTAGGTTGGAGGTGGTGCCTGAGGGGCATTAGGAATGCACAGGTATCTCATTGGCACTTGTTTGGTGCCAGGGACAAATTCCTAGGGGTCGGGAAGATAAGAGCTCCTTGGTTCTGCTTGAGGCTTTACCGGATACAGTGTCCTGGCTGGGCCAAAACTCTTTCATATCCCATCTTATGATTATTATTATTAGGAATAGGTGTGGAGATTTCTTCCTGCTGTGGAGAATTCTGCCTCCTGCTGGAAGGGCCGCTGTACTGGGGTCTAGAGGAGTCGACGGGATGACAGTTAATGTCCATGTAGAAGCTGGTGCCAGGTGTTTTAGCCAGGACAACCTCACTGGTGAATGCACATATGTTAGACTGGAAAAACAAAGAGACAAATGTTATGAGGAGGCATGGCACTGTCATATTAAGGACCCAGGTGAGGTAGAAGGAAAGGTGCTCAGGTGATTTAGATATGTCATTATTATAGGACCATGTTGAGGTAGAAACATTTCCACGGTAAGGCAGAATTCTGAAAAATAAATGTGGGGTTAGGAGGAGTGAAGTTATGAGAGGTGATTACTACCCCATCTGAAAGGGTAAAAGATAAAAGGGTAAGGCTTGTCTCTGGCAAGCATGATGTGGGAGTCTTTAGGAAATATTGTTGAGAGTCTGGCTGTAAAAAAGAATAAGAAATTAGAAACCAAATTGGATAACAAAACATGACAGCCTGAGAGTCGCGGTTGTGAGGCCTTGGTGAAATGGAGATGAGTAAGCTGAAGGATGGTTAGATCTAGGGCTGGAAGGGTATCACTTAGGCTGAGTGATACAAAACCAGGATGGCAGTCTAGCAACTTTGATCACTGTTGAGGTTGCCAAGAATATCAGGTATGGGTCGCTGTAACCTCATTGTAGTCCTTGGAATGATTTGCTATAACAGGACTTTAGTAAGTATATCAGCAGTCTCCCTGGTTGTGTGAAAGGCTTTGATGTATCCTGAAAAAGTATAAATAAAGTGAGAAGACAAAATTTATCTGCCAGTCTTGACCATGGTTATGTCTGAGAAATTGGTGAGTAAGAAAGGAAGGGGGTGGTCTAGCGATAACAGGTGTAAGCTGTTGAGGCCTCAGTGTCTGGGTCAGTCTGTATAAACACAAAGGAATAAAAGGCATTTTTAAGATTTAGGACTATAGAGTGAGTGGTGGAGGGAAGACTTGGCCCCACTGGGTGGATTGGGAAGAAGCAGTCTGGGACCTGCACAAAATAGGCCCTGTTTGTAAATGGCATAGGTTGACCTTTAATACCCCCTAGAGATTGAGGACTTACTAGAGCAGCCTGAAAACTCAGGAAGAACTCTGTATATATGGCCTCTATGCCCACAAATATAGAGAATGTCTTATCTGAGACTTTTAGTGGGACTTGGACTCTGAGACGGACACCTTAAAGAGGGCTATTGTTGGCCCTGAGCCCCATCAGTCTTCAGCAGCAAGTTTAAGCAGATCTGTCAGTGATGAATCTGGCAGTGTTGGCATTTCCTGTGAGGGTTAGAAGTTAGGATGGCTTACCCACTCTCTGGTGGTTAGGACGGTCCAGGAGCCCTGGGGTAAGGTCTAAAAGGAATGCCAGGATGGAGCACTCTCTTGCCCAATGTCTTCTGCTGCATTTGAGGCATGGTCCATGGGAGGGGGGGTCCAGGCAGCTCCACCTTGTGTCAGTTTACCTGTCTCAGAACTCCAAGTGTCACTGTTATCTCTGTTGTTGAAAACATGAAAAGCCATATTAAGGTGGTCTCTATGGAGTTTGAAGGTCAAGTTTTGCCTTTTTGTTTGGGATTTGGTGTAAAGTAGAAGGTATCTATAGAATCAAGCAAGTATGCAGGAGTCAAATATACTCAACAGTGTATTTATTTTTACTAATGGCTTTCCATAAGGAGGACAAGGTTCAGACAATTTTAGGAACTGACATGTCATATATGTCATATATAAGTATCTATATTGTTAAAATGTCTAATGCCTTCTGATTTTTGGAGGATGGCCTGTTTTATTAACTTTTACCTTTTTATTTAGGAGAGAGATCAGCTATGGTGTCATTTAACATCAGTTCAATATAGTTAATTATGGCTTGGTAGAGGGCTGAGCCAGGACAGGCAGACAGGCTGGGAAAGGTTTAAGTTAGGCTTCTGCCGCAGTGTTGGTCTTGTTGTTATGTATATATCATATAACCCTTGTCTTGGAAAAGAACTTGTGGTTCCCAGCAAAAGGAATTTATCATTAGTGGTTTACAGCAAAAGGAATTTATAAGTATCTCTTAATTTTAGTTGTTAAACATCTCTAAGCATATATCTGGGTCTGAAAGAAAATATTTGTCATGGCTGGAACACAAGAAAAGGCAGCAGAAAAAATCTGAATTTTATATCTGAAAACAAAATACATCATCAGATCAGCAACTATGAGTTGTCTGTTGTGATTTGCTGCCGTTTGTCTCTGCACTGGCAGCCAGAGTCATGCTTGAGCTTGGGGGGTGGGGACTGGTCTGGAGCATGGGCAGAGCCCGGCCAGCATAGGGGCCATGCATGCAGAGTGAAGGCGGGGTGAGCCCCGGGACATAGCATACGGGAAGGGGCTGAAACTGCCCCAGAAACACGTGCAAGGTGGGGGAGGGTGGGCAGGCGGTGGCGGCGGGCACGTGGCACATGGGGGTTGGAGCTGGGAGGCGGAACTGAGTTGCGGCCTGAAGCTGGGACCCTACTTGCTGCGACCCTGCATGGGGCTGGGGCACCACATGAAGCTGGGGCTGCTCCCAGAGATGCAGCAGGTAGCCTGACCAACGCAGAGCTGAGTTGCCATGTGGAGCCAGAACTGCTCGCAGGGTGCACGGGTTAGGGCATGGTGTTAGAGCCAGATCCCATGTGGAACTGGAGTGCGGCATAAGAGCTGAGACACTGCTTGGATTTGGGGCGTGGCGTGAAAGCTTAAAGCAGCAGTATGTCCCAACACTGTTTGGGTGCACCTCCCCCGTCTCAGTGGGGAATGGGTTGGCATGAATGGCGGGAGGAGGGAACGCAGCTAGGAAACAAAGGGGACGCTGGTGGGAAAGGACACACATTCTCAAAACAAAGGTTTAAAAATAGTTTTGTAAACTTGTCCTCAGTGTGATAAACTGTAGATAGGTATGTTTTTTTTTTTTAATTTAAGAGTACTCAGATTGGAAATCAAGCATTGCAAAGGTGTGGTCTTTTGGGAAGTAGAAAAGATTTTTTTTTATGGCTAAATCTCAGGTGAGAAATGGACCGTGGTCCAAAGGTTGGGCCGTCACCTGTCCTTTGCAACGAACAGCAGTTACAGTTCCAAATCTCATATTTCACAGTCATCACCAAGATCCACGAGTGGATTTCTCGTGGGTTTTAGTACCAGCTCTGCCCATGAGAGCTTAAAGCTCTGAAGGATGTGAGAGTCTTTCAGTGTGAACCCAGGTTGGTCCAGAAAAACTCTGCCTTGGCCTGTCTAAGGAAGTGAGAGCATCACGCAAATCCACGGAAAGGGGAAGAAAACCCGCCTGGGGCCTAGCCCTGCACTGAAGAATTCTCCAGAGTTAAATTGGGCTGGCGTTGTTTTCAAGCCAGCAGCAACAAGTTTATAGCTCCCAACTGTAGAAGTGAGGAATTAGGGAACCATCCAGGATGTAGTCTGGTCCTGAACAGCAGGGAACTCAGACGGGGGGGGGGGGGGGGGGGGGGGAATCCCAGGAGTCTCTCATCTGCTGTTCCCGGGCAGGGAACCATATGATAGAATTGTGGGGGGCGGTGGCTGAAAAGATAAGAAGTATGAAATATAAATGATCTTTATTTTAAGAATGCAGGGAGAGACCCCCGATCCCCTGGGGCGCTGCATCTCCCCCCAGGGTCGGCGATCTCTCCATGGAACACGCGGAGTGGAGACATACATGTAGCTTAGGTTGGGTGTGGTGCCTAAGGGACATTAGGGATGTGCAGGTATCTCATTGGCACTTGTTTGGTGCCAGGAACAAATTCCTAGGGGTGGGGAAGATAGGGCCACAGATAAATTCCTAGGGGTGGGGAAGATAGGAGCTCCTTGGTTCCTCCTGAGGCTTTACCTGCTACAGTGTCCTGTCTGGGCCAAGACTCTTTCAGCACCATCTTTCAGAATGGTGGCAGCCTAGAAAATTTGTTACTCAAGAATGGGTGAAGCATCATGGACTCTGGGAACACTCTGCTTTGTCATCTAGGAATCAAGAAGCTGCTGTTACCCTATGTATTGGCTGGACTTTCATCATATCTGCTAAAATTTCAGGGCAAAAAAAAAAGGAGCTCAAATTACTCAGAGCTAGTGACAAGGCACTAGGATTTATGGTAGTACAACCAATAATCATAGGAAACCCTAGTGCCTCCACCATTATGGTACTTAAGAGAGGCAGCAGAGATGTGGCTTTTGCCTGATCACCTTTTCCAAGTGTTGGGCATGTGTAGTTGATTGCACAATTTAACTGCATCTAGAGCACTGTCTGCTAAAGAGTCTAGGAAATATGAAATTGTTGTTATAGGATTTTTTGTTTTAGCTTTTAAGCAATATATGAAGGCAGAATAGAAAATGAATGACACAGTTCTTAATCTAGCAATCTGTAGTATGATTGATAAGAACAGAACTGCCTTTGAAAGAGATAATTTGGATAGGACAATAAAAATTAAATTCAAAATGCGGAGCAGCACAAAAATTCCAAGTAATGAATGCTAATAGATCAAAAATGTACTGGCATTGGAGATGTAGAGAGGGAGAGGGAGAGGGAATGGGAGAAGAGGAGAGAAGGAGAGAAAGGGAGAGAGAGAGAGAGAGAGAGAGAGAGAGAGAGAGAGAGAGACAGAGAAAGAGAGAGAGAGAGAGAGAGAGAGAGAGAGAGAGAGAGAGAGAGAGAGAGGGAGAGAGAGAATAAATGAGAAAGAGGTTAAGGAAGAAGAGATTCAATAGCAATGATTGGCTTTTGGTAAGGTGAAAAAGAGATAGTGTGGCTTATGGATATTTTCTGGTTACTTCAGTGTGTGACTTCCATTCCCAGGAAAGAAAGAATTCAGGCAAAGAAGCAAACCATTAGGGTTGCTATAGGGAAAATGATTTCAATTCATGATTTATTTGGTTTGAGATGTTTGTGAGACTTTTTCAGCAGGAGATATCCATAACGCAGTTGGAGTTTCATCCCCACAGTTCAGAAGAAGAGTCATTATCAGAGACATAAGCACTCTGTACACCTCCAAGCAAGAGTTTATGTTTGTTTTCTTCTTCACTAGTGTCCAGTGACTTTGTTGAAGAGAGGTGCATCAGTGCATAATGTATATGGTAGTTTAAAGGTTTGTGTAGATGACTCCATTCAGGAAAGTTTAGAATAAAGGGAAAATGGGTAGAACAGCCCTGAAATTGGAAGAATCTTGAGAAATTATGATATTAACAACAGGATGAAGAAGAACCTAGGCAAGAAGTGAAGACATCATGAGGAAATGTCTTTTCTGACATATCAGGAAAGACAAAGGCAACATTGGAGTCAGATGGCAAAGAAGTCAGGAAAGATAAACATGAAAATATGGCCATAAGACTTAGCAACAAGTTGGTCATTTGTTTATATTTATGAGATGCTCCTAATTTTTAAGGGATGATGGGAATAAAACCAGGTTGTAGTAGTTTGGAATCAAAAGATGAAAAGTACCAACAGGTACTTTCAAAGGCAAGGAGAAAGATTCTAGTTGCTTGCATTATGGTACTGTCATGATAGCTATTATCTTTAAAACAACCTAGAAGAATGGCCTTCAAAATGCTTTACCTGTTTTATGCAGTACATTTTACATCAAAATCTAATAACTGAAATAAATGCTTCATGGAAGAGTATTAATCCTACTATATGGACATTTCATGTAAGTGAAAATTGTACAAAAGCCTGATCTAAATTGCTCTTTCACTTAGCATATTTTCAAAGTTCTATGTAATAGTATGTACAATATTTCATTCTTTTTTGTGACTAAAGCTATTCCACTATATGACTATATTACATTTTTTCCCATTCTTCAATCGAGGAACATTTATTTCCATATTTTTGCTACTATAAACAATATGGATATTGAATATATATAAGAGTTTTTATGTAAACATATTGCATTTCTTTTAAATGTACACCTAGGAATGCAATTGTTGGGTCAAGTGGTAACTATGTTTAACAATTTAAAGATTTGCCACACTATTTTCCAAAGTAGCTCCACTACTTTACATTCTTACCAGGTATGTTTTGAGGATTTTATGTCTCTATAGCCTCCATGACTTCTTTTATTATCTGGTTTTATGACTGTGGTCATAGTGAGTGTAAAGTGGCATCTTATTACAAACAGTTCTATAGTAAATATGCTACATTTCCATTTTCCGTATTTGATTCAAAATTTTCTGGTGGCTAGACATGTTGAATATCTTTTCATGTGCTTTATTGAACATTTCTTTGGATAAACATCTGGTCTGAGCCTTTGATAATTTCTTAAATCGAATTATGAGCTTTAAAAGTGCCATTTATATTATATTTAAATACAAGTCTATCATACATATTATTTGTAAATATTTTCTTCCATTTTTTAGGTTTACATTTCACACTCGTGGTAGTAGCCTTTAAAGTACAAAAGTTCTTAATTTTGATGAAGTGCAATTTACTTTTTCCTTTGGTTGTTGGTATTTTCATGTCATATTTAAGAAACCAAATTCATTCCTCCTTTTTGTTAAATATCCACAATATTATCATATCAAAACAATAGTAACTCCTTAATATCATTGAGTATCTGATTTGTGTTCAAATTTCCAGTTGTTTCATAAATGCAACAAATACATGTCTGTGTATTTCAAATTCACTCTAGTCAATTATTCTTTGTTTTCTTCCCATGTCCTATAAAGGGCTTGATTACTGGTTTTGTGACTTTTATAGTGTGGATTTTTATAACATGAATTCCTGCACTATATTTTAAAGTTTTTCCCCCTCTGTGCATTCTGTAAATTATTAAAGCTAGCTCCAATGAGATAAAGGCACCCATTTTCCTCAATTTACCACCTCACCAGGTACAGGTATGTAAAGGTATTTCCTAATAAAGAACAGAGGAAAGGAGAAGCAATAGGGGATAATACAGATCTCTACACTTGCTTTATACCTTCTAGCCATCTTCAGCTCATTCTCTTCCTTCTTGTGGAAAGGAAACTGGACCTTGGCCTCCTGGGGCAAGAATCTGAATATTTTTTTTTTTCCCTTTTGGGCTGATGAGTATAGGAATGTTGGTTAAAGGTGCAGCTGGAGTAGGTTTGGAAAAATTGCTTATCTCTAAAATGTATAAAAATCTATTTTAAAGCTCCTTATTGCAGTACTGGTTACATTATGAGCCAAAATTTGTAAAGTGGGACTTAGTTGGAATTTATAATATCTTGTAGGGCCAGAGATAATTTTGTTCACATTTTCCAATAATCTATTTAAGATGTAGTGTGTTCTTTTGATTCAAGGATTTCTAGACAATACAAAGCCAATCTCATTTCTTTGTAGAGTCCATAGTATCCTAGCAGATCCATAACTTAATTTGTTTTATGCCTCAGCTATCCAGTTTCATGCCTCTTTCAACCAATATTTATCTGTTCACTCACATGTTCAGAGAATGGTAAGAGGAAGAAAGGGTTTGAAAGAGCTTCTGCATAGGCCCTAAGAAACTGCAGAAATTGTATATATGTTTTTGAGATGAGGACTGTGAAATTTCACTGAATTTTCTTATTAATTCTAAGTCTTCATGTGATTGCAGAGATAGAGGGCCAGATAGGGAGAAAAAGTTGCCCAAAAGTTAAACAGTAAGCTTGATGTAGGGATGGAAATAAATCTGAAATATTCTTGTTTCTAGTTGGGCTCCTCCTACCAACCCTTGAAGTTCTAGACACTGGGTCACAAACATTAAGCTGGAAAAGCATTACCATTTGTGTAGAAGGTTATCCTTGCTGAACCCAACATCCCTTCACGATGAACACTGTGAAGAAAACAGGTATACAAGGACCATATCTAAATTTGATAAAAGCTATATATAACAAATTAGCCAGCATCACACTAAATAGGGAAAAACTAAAAGCATTCCCCATAAAATCAGGAAGAAGACAAAGATGTCCATTGTCACCTCTT